CAACAACGACGACGACGACGACGACGACGACGACGACGACGACGACGACGACGACGACAACGACGACGACGACGACGACGACGACTACGACTACGAGGAGACTATCGCTCGCAAATCGCGAGAATCGAACCGTCCGTAGTCGGTGTCGCGTGCTGAACGAGATAATACACGGATACTCGCGACGCGGACGTAAGCACGGTAAGTGTCGGCTCACGGAATGCCATTGCGCGACCAAGATCGCAAGTCGGTTTCGCTTCGCTCCGGAGGAAAAGAGCGTCGTCGCGACGCGTCGCGAGTGTGTTTACCTTGGGTGTGTCGAAGTATCTGCCGCCCATGCCGGAAAGAACATCCGCTGATTTCCGATCGGACTTCCTTTCACTGCGTGTATCTGAAACAGAGTGAATTCGCAGTTTTGAGAATAGCGGAAAAAATTTTCCGAAAAAATGAAAAAAAAAAAGAAAGGCGATACAAAATCCTTTTGCAGGCACGCGCTAAAAACTTCGTGAGACTTGAAATTCGTATACTAATTTCCAATTTTTTCACGATACTCGAGAACCACTTGACTCTCGCTACACAATTTCTCATGATTTTTTTTTGTTATCTCTCGATTCGCAAATCTCGACAACCTCGTTGGGGAGCGGCGCATCAAAGGGAGTCGCGTTCGCTCTCGAGCTCAAGTCGATCGCCAGACACGAACATGCGCGTCGGTGCCTGATACTCCATCGAGGAGAGCGAAATTATCGTTGTTCGGGAGTTCTCATCTCATCTCATGATGGTTCCTCTTCATTTCCTCTTTTCGCTACGGACGTGTGTGCATCCTTTCTTTCGCTCTCTTTAACGCAACGTACGCCGCGCGCACACGCACGGACGTATACGAACACGTCACGCACACGTACACATGTCAATCGCCTTTCCCTTCGCCTCTCCCGCGCTCCTCTCTCTTTTCCCCTTCCCAACGTTCTTGTCGATTGTTAGAAATTGATGACAAATCGCATTCCTGGAACATTCCCCTCGTTACATCACGCAGCCAACATGCCTCCGTCCCACCTTGGATTCCGCGAGAACTCCGTCGCAAGTTTTCGCATCCCGTGTGGTTACACCCGACGGGTGCAACGGCACGACGCATATTCGATCGCGGCCGGCCGCGCGACACCCACAAGCTCGAAGCTGTGCGACGCGTGAGCGAGACAGAAATAGAGAGAGGAGGGAGAGGAGGAACCCTTCGATCGCGCCCACATTCCGTGCGAGAGCATCTTTCGCTGTCGCAATGAGATACACTGATCTACCTTAGCGTTGTATAAATGGAAATTTTCGGGAAGCGTGTTATTGTTCTAGAACTATTTTTCTTCTGGTACTTTTGATTTTCACGCAGTATTCGAAAAAATTCAAAATGTACGTTCACTTCTCTCCGAATCGGTAAACTGAGATCCCACTCGTCGTTTTGCGTTTGGTCTTCCTTTTTTGTCACTATTCTTTTTTTTTTTTTCTAATCGGAGTAGTTCGAGTGTTAAGAGTGGTGGAATTCCGGAGTGGTGGAATTTTCTTCTTTTTTATTTCAGGTGTGAAGATAAATTTTCACAAGAGACATGAGTTACCCGATGTCATCAAATCAGACTAGACCAAGTAAATCACATTTATGCGATATAATTCATCGCTATAATGATGCACATGGAACTTACATTTGTTTGAGTTGCAGTGTCGCAAGGAAATTATCAGGGCCCGGGCGACCTGCCCATGGGCTCTGCCAAGGAACAAACCCTGATGTGGCAACAGAACTCCTACATGAATGACTCAGGTATTCATTCTGGTGCAGTCACTCAAGCACCATCCCTGTCTGGCAAGGAGGATGAGGAAATGGAAGGAGATCAGCTCATGTTTGATCTGGATCAAGGGTTTGCTCAGGGTTTCACACAAGATCAAGTTGATGGTAAGATTTCTGATTGTTTGTAAATCTGATTTTATCGTTGCAAAATTTAATATTATGTATTATAATAGAGAATTATATATCTTTTAGAGATGAATCAGCAGCTGAGTCACACTCGATCCCAACGTGTACGCGCTGCTATGTTTCCCGAAACGCTGGAGGAAGGTGTAGAGATACCTTCCACACAATTTGATCCTGCACAACCTACCGCTGTACAGAGATTGGCCGAGCCGAGTCAAATGCTGAAGCATGCTGTTGTCAACTTAATTAATTATCAGGATGATGCTGATCTTGCCACACGCGCTATTCCGGAATTAATTAAATTGTTGAATGATGAGGATCAAGTAGTCGTTTCTCAAGCAGCTATGATGGTACACCAATTGTCTAAGAAAGAGGCCTCTCGCCATGCTATTATGAACAGCTCGCAAATGGTAGCTGCTTTAGTACGCGCTATCTCTAACAGCGATGATTTAGAATCGACGAAGGCAGCAGTTGGTACTCTTCACAATTTATCACATCATCGACAAGGCTTGCTAGCTATTTTCAAGAGTGGCGGCATTCCCGCACTTGTAAAACTATTGAGTTCCCCGGTAGAGTCTGTTCTTTTCTATGCAATAACAACGCTCCACAACTTATTGCTTCACCAAGATGGCTCTAAGATGGCCGTACGTCTTGCCGGTGGTTTGCAAAAAATGGTTGCTCTACTACAACGGAACAACGTCAAATTTCTGGCCATTGTCACTGATTGTCTGCAAATTTTGGCATACGGAAATCAGGAGAGTAAGCTAATCATTCTTGCTTCGCAAGGCCCGATAGAGCTCGTGCGCATTATGCGCTCTTACGATTACGAAAAACTATTGTGGACTACTTCAAGAGTATTAAAAGGTGATTTCTTTAATTTACTACAACTTTACATAATTATAATAAGATTTTATAATTATCGATCGATTATCGTTGTTTGCAGTATTATCTGTTTGCCCCAGTAATAAACCCGCGATTGTGGAGGCTGGTGGAATGCAAGCACTTGCCATGCATCTTGCAAATCCGAGTCAACGATTAGTACAGAATTGCTTGTGGACATTACGTAATTTATCGGACGCTGGCACAAAAGTTGACGGGCTAGATAACTTGCTGCAAAGTCTCGTGCTTGTTCTCGGGTCGACGGACGTGAACGTGGTCACATGTGCCGCTGGTATTTTATCAAACTTGACCTGCAATAATCAGCGTAACAAAGTACGTCGAAAACATTTCTTCGTAATAATACTCTCGCACATATATCTGACGTAAGCTTTAATCTTAAAATTTTTGTTTAGGTTGCAGTATGTAATTTTGGCGGTGTAGACGCTCTGGTTCGTACGATTATCAGTGCTGGCGATCGAGAGGAAATAACCGAACCAGCAGTGTGTGCTTTACGTCATTTGACCTCACGTCATGGTGAAGCGGAGATGGCACAAAATTCTGTTCGATTAAATTATGGTATTCAGGTTATAGTAAAATTACTCCATCCACCGTCGCGTTGGCCGTTGGTAAAGGCTGTTATCGGATTGATCCGCAATTTGGCTCTTTGTCCTTCTAATCACATCCCGTTACGTGATCATGGCGCTATACATCATCTCGTAAGACTTTTGATGCGTGCATTCCAGGATACGCAACGAGTAAGTATATAATTCTATACATATTAGATATACTAGACACTATACATACTAGATATATGTATATGTATGTACATATGTATGTAGATAGATGCGTGCGTGCGTGCGTGCGTACGTGTGTGTGTGTGTGTGTGTGTGTGTGTGTGTGTGTGTGTGTGTGTGTGTGTGTGTGTGTGTGTGTGTGTGTGTG